AGCCGGCCTCCCCGCCGCGCCCCGGTCGTTCCCGGGTCGCGGCTGCGGGCTGAGGGGGGCAGGGCGGGTGAAAGACTTCCCCGCGCACCCTTCCCTGACCTCAGGACTTGTGGCCTTGTGCTCCTCGACCAAGAGCACATGTCACTTTAAACGGCTTACTTTGGTGAGAGGTCATAATGCACTGGTACACATGTTGGCTGCTCTTGATTTTAGGTCAGTTTAAGATAATTTCTCTCTCAGAGGTTATATATCTTTAAATGTACACTGGAAGCCTAATAGTTTTTTGTGTTTTTTTGTGGGGTTTTTTTTTTGCATCTTCAGAATGAGTGACCTATTTGTGAATCAACTAAACACGTCCTAGGTAGTTAAGTTAATTCAAATGTCTTGTCACAAAAAAGTATTCAAGTTGTCATCTTTGAACTAAGTGAAGGACATATGTAGAGTTCCCAGGTTTAAGGATTGGAGCAGGTGATACAGGTGCAACCTTGTGGGGAAACTGGGTATCCTTTGAGAGCCCCTCTAGTCTTAGAGTATGTAAATATTCACTTTGTTTGCAGGCAAAGGAGATTTCCTGCTAAGTGGTACCACTTTTATTACTGTACATTCTTCAGTAAGAGAGCTAAAAATGTTTGAAACTGAAAAACATAAAGGCAGCTGGCACCTTACCGACTTGACCAGTCTCAGGAAAGAGTTGTGTTATGAGTTGGAAACCTTCTGTAGTTATAGTAGATTGTTATAGTAGATGTATAAATATATTTTCTGCTTTCATATTCAAACCATTGGGGGAAAGTCCCATGACCAATAATGCTTGAAAAAAAAAAGATATGCTAGTCTGTAAATTTTTAGTTGTGGGATGAGCGTTTTTACAGTTCTCTATCTCTTTGGAGTTTTGCTTTGTTAGGCTTGTTAAACTAGAATTTTACTTCAGTTCTTACTGCCTTTGCATGATTCTATACTTATTTATGGCCTTCTTATGCTAAATGGTATTAACCCCATTTTTGCTTTTCTCTATCTCTTTGAGGTGGATTTTCCATTGAAATGACTGCTCTTTTTTCTTTTTTTCGCAATTAGTATATCAAACTACAAAAAAATTGTAGTTTGATATACTAATGAATGAGTAGTAGAGAAATAATTATAAACTGTCATGTCCTCTAGGAATCTTTGTCCTCTCTAACTGCCTGTTTTTTGAAAAAGATAACTGTTTCTTGTACCTTTATTAATAACCAGACAAAGGAATTCCTTGTGTGTGCCTTTGAGCTCTCTTTTGAATGACCACTTCTTGGCTCCACATCTTCCATCAGTCACCTAAAGTTTGCAATAAGATCTTTTTGTAAATTGATGCCCTATTGTAGTCATTACCTGTCTTGGCTTCAGTTCTGTAGTAGAAGTAGTTGGGTAAGGTTTGCAACCATGAGACTCAACCAGGACATACTAGAGACTAGAGTGAGAACAGAAAACCAAGAGGTGTAGTTCTGTCCCTATGCTTTTTCTGTTTACAGATAGATTGAAAAATTGTTAGCTTGTGGGATTCCTAAAAATCTGTACTCAGTCATCATTGCCCTTACCAGAAAGAGCTATTAATGTGTCTTTTCATGCACTGTACCTTACCAAGGGACTTAAATATAAAGAGTTCTTTCTTACTAGGAGTGTGGAATATAATTGACCACCATGACTTCAATGAGCAAGTATATTCAACTATATGCTAGGGACATTGTGGAAATTCAGAGGTGAGTATATGTCTAGGGTGGTGAATAAGAGTTCAATACCTGTCATTGATAGAGAAGACAAATTTGGATCTACCTCTGATTTGCTCTTAGTGTTCACTTCCTTTTCTAAATAAATATTTGAAATTAACTGTAATAAAGAAATATGGTGGCTTTTTGCTTTCTCTTACTGAGATTAATTAGTACTTCAGTGTAAATTTTCTGAAATGTAAATGTATTTCTTGAAAAATTTATAGTTTTGGGACAGTGGTTTTTAAACCTTTTTTATTTGGCTCCTAGAAGAAAGGAATTTGTACCTCCCACTAACTTTTCTAGGTTAAATGTAATCATTCTATTATGGATGCATTATGTTGTTTGAAATTAAAACAAAGAAAAATTTAAATTCCCCCTCTCCTCTTGGTCACCAACAAGCTACGTAATTAGATGTATGTCCTTTTCCCCCCTACTTCTTCTTTATGCCTCACATAGGGACTTAATGAGCTGGACAAGAATGGAGAATGGAAACAACTATAGCTACCTTAGAGCAATGGTTCTCAAACTTTTTAGTTTTAGGATCCCTTTACACTGTTACAAATTATTGAGGACCCCAAGAACTTTAACCTATGTGGGCTGTATCTGTAAATATTGCTTTACTAGTAATCAAAACAGAAAATTTTGTAATATTTATTATTCCACTTAAAAATAATAATAAACCCATTATATGGTAACACAGATAACAAATTTGATATGACAAATAATTTTCAAAACAATATTCTTAGTGAGAAAAATGGCATTATTTTTCACTTTTGCAAATCTCTAATGTCTGGCTTAATAGAAAACAATTGGATTCTTATTATCTGCTTCTGTATTCAGTCTATTGTGATGAGTTGTTTTGACTGAGTATATGAAGAAAATTTGTATTTACACAGATATGGTATTGGAAGAACTATTTTTTAAATTAAGGTATAGTTAATACATAATATTGTATTAGTTTCAGGAAAAAGTAGTATTTTATTACCCTTTTCAGATAATTCTTTGATATTACACCAAAACTTGACAAGTTGTCGTTTCTTAAAGGTTGGTTGTGATGTGGTATTTGAAACTGTATCAGTGATCTTTTCATACTTTATCACATTAAAAGCTATTAGTTTGTCTTGCACTGTGAATGGATTTTTTACCCATGCATGATTCTGTGACATCATGAATTGACCTGCTGGAAAATACTGGTTCTTTGAGTTACGTATATCTTCCCAATATTGATACCCTTTGTTATGTAATATATTTTTTAAAAATCACATTTGTTAATATCACTCCTGATCTCATCACAGAAATCTTTAGGTCCTGGGAAGCTATCAGTCTCATGGTAGCAGATACAAGTTATCCAAAATTCAGATTTTGGCTTGAGAGCTCAAATTTTATCATTGGCAATAAATATTGTCAGTTTTCCTTGAAGCAAAAGACTCCATTCACTTTGAGAAAATGTCTCCCAAATATGCAAGTCTGAACAATCATAGTTCTTTAAAATAAAAATTGTGTTTCATGATAAGAGCAGCTAGTTCAACTTGCAATTCAGTTCCACCAATGCCTTTTCTCAAGATAACCTTCATTGTTCAGTGTGCAGCAGCAGTTATGTGTATTTCCCATTTTATCACACAGAATATTAAAAGATCTGTGCTCAAGGGTTGAAATTTAATAAAATTAATGATTTTTACTGCTTTATCAAGGATCTTCTTTTTTTTAAAATCCTCACCAGAGGATATTTTTTCCATTGCTTTTTAGAGTGAGTGGAAGGGGGGGGAGGGACATCAATGCCAGATAGAGCCTGCAGCTGAGGTACGTGTCCTTGAGCAGAATTGAACCCAAGACACTTCAGTCCTTGGGCAGAAGTTCTAACCACTGAGCAAACTGGCTAGGGCTCAAGGACATTTTTTTTTTTTTTTTTAATATATCTTTTATTGATTTCAGAGAGAGGAAAGTGGAGGGAGAGAGATAGAAACATCAATGATGAGAGAGTCATTCACTGATCAGCTGCTTCCTGCATGCCCCCAACTGGGGATCGAGCCCACAACCCAGGCATGTACCCTGACTAGGAATTGAACCCCGATCACCTGGATCCTAGGTCGACACTCAACCGCTGAGCCATGCCTGGCAGGGCAAGGACATTCTTAAGTGAACAAGTGAAGTGCCCTTTTTTTTTTAACTATTGCTATGAAGAATGCAATGACTGCTAGTATAGTTTGGTGCCATTGTCTTGGTTCCACTAGCAGTTTTGCCTACTGTTATTTTTACATCATCAGTGTAAAAGTCAACACTGAAAAAAGTAAGTCATGTTTTAGTATTATAATGAGAATAGTTTTGACCTCTTGGATCCCCTGAAAGGGTCTGAGGGGTCCTTAGGGGTCCTACAGATCCCATTTTCAGAACTGCTGTTGTATTAAGCTCCTTGAGGGCAAGGATTTTTGTCTCTTGTTCACTGATAACTTTCCTTATAACTAGGCTTGCTATCATCTTGGGATGTTTTGCCTATCTCTAGTGTTAGATAACTTTTTTTTTTTTAAATATATCTTTATTGATTTCAGAGAGAGGAAGGGAAAGGAAGAGAGAGAGTTGAAACATCAATGATGAGAAAGTTGTCATTGATCAGCTGCCTCCTGCATGCCCCCGACTGGGGATCGAGCCCACAACCCGGGATGTGCCCTGACTAGGACTCGAACCTTGATCTCCTGGATCCTAGGTCAGTGCTCAACCACTGAGCCATGCCGAGTGGGCTAGATAACTTATTTTCTGAATCTGGCTTGTCTTTGTTGGTTTACTGTCTGCTTTTGGTGCAGCGTGAGGTATAATTTTGGGACTTTGCGTATCTGAAAATGTCTTTATTCTGATCTCATATTAGATCAGTAATTGGGCTGGATATAGATTCTAGGTTGAAAAGCATTTTTACTTAGAATTTTGAAGGCAAGTTTCCATTGTTTTTGATATTGCTGTTTAGAAGTCTTATGCTTTTCTTATGATTCCCCCATTTTTTTTCCTCTTTAGAAGTTTCTGGGGTTTTCTATATCTTTCTGGTGTCTGAATTTTTATGAGATATGTCTGGTGTATGTCTTTTTTAAATTCATTGTTCCGGGGACTTTTTACCTCCCATTTTTAATATCTTTCTTACTACTTTCTGTGAGTCATCTGAACCTACCGTCTAATCCGTGTGTGTGTGTGTGTGTGTGTGTGTGTGTGTATGTTTACAAATTGTCATTTGTTTAAATTTCAAGCTTTTGCTCCTATTTTATGGATGTTCCTCCTATTTTTGCTTGTTGGATCCTCTTCTCATATGTTTCTGAGGAAATAACTGTGATATTTTCCTTGAAATTTCTTCTGCATGTTCCTGGTTTACGAGTTGCTTTTTTTGTTTCTGTCTCTTTTGATGAAGGATCTCATCATGTGATTGGTTATCCTTTTTTTGTTGTTTTTTTGGTATATATCTCTAAAAAGTTAACAGAAAAATAGTTTACAGAAAAATGTTTAAGGTTTGGGCTTATTAACTGGAGGGCTTGGTTATAGGGTGATTGGGTGAAGGGCTGGCCGTTTTTTGGGGGGGGCAAGTACCTTCAAATACTTACAGTATATGTTTTTCAGCTACTGTTCAGTTTTTGCATAGGTGAATCCTTGGCCAGAAATCTTGGATCCAAGCACACAGAGGGCTGCAGTATTTATCACTAGTTGTAGCCTTCCATGTAATTCTTTTAACTTTTAGTTTAGCATCTCTCTGCCCTCATTTACTGTGCCCCTGGACCTGGTGTTTTATTGTTTCATCATTTTTCCAAAATAAATAATCTCCTGGGATTTGGGAAGAGTAGTCATCTGTTTGGGTTGGATGGGGAAGAGGACCCAGGAGATTATTACTTTTATAGACTTTTCAACTAGTTTCCTTGTTTTTTAGTTCCATGCATCGTTGTCCCCACTGTGGTAACTGATATCTTAATTTCCTGATCCTTTCTGATTTTTGCTATGTAAATTGGCTTTTCTCATGTTGGAATTTTCTGTAGTTGCTTGGTATTCAGCTCTTGTAGTTCTAAGTCTTCCATCTGTTTTTCATTTGCTAAAAATTTGTTGATGTATCTTGTCTACTGTTCCTGCTGTCTTCTCTTCTAGTCTGTGTATCCTTGTGAATTTATACTTTTCTGTTCTTTTATTCTCACTTTAGGTGTTTTTTGGTGTGTTTTTTTTTAAACAAGATAATGAGAACATAAAAGCTCATGTTAAATGATTATTTGTGGGTAAAGAAAAATTTTAACTGCTTGAAAGTGAAAACAAGAATGGGAGGAAAAGCCAGGAAATAAGAAAACTTAGATGATCATTATCACAATTATGTACAAATTTCTTAATGGAAATACATGCATACACACACATACACCCACAGACACACACGTGCTTATATATAATGGATATATGAATATACATGTGAATATTATATACACATACATTTAAATATATGTATATATGTACATATATACTGTGTATGTGTATAATTTCATATCATAGTATTTTGAAACTGGAAAGGATCATGGTGCCTTTTTATCCAGAGCAGTTTCATTCTTCAATGAGAAAACTGGCTTAGATATGCTAATGATTTGCTGAAAGTTTTAAAATCAACTCTTCCCAATGTTTTGTTGAACAATGAAATGTTAGAAATGTGACCATCGTGGAGGTTCAGAACTATATTTAAGCCTAATTCTGGCTCTAGGTAAATGGCATAAAGTTTTGAATCCTAACAGCAGTTTCCAATTGGAGTCAGGGAGTCACCTGACAGTTCTGAAAACACAGCTGTAATTTAACATAGTGCTTTGTTTATAGTAATGATATATAACTTATTTTGAATAAATATTAAAGGAAAGTGAGATTTTTATTTATCTGATCCATTAACTACTTATCTTAACCATTACATAGGATGGATCTTGCTTTTATGTGACATTGAAAGATATCTAATAACTATGTCAGTAAAAAAAAAAAAAGATTTCATGTCAGAATCTAAAGGCTAACTTTGAAGTAAGTTGAGTAAGTTTCTTATTAGCTAAGATAATTCCTTAATTTTAGTTGCGAAATCCTAAAAATCCTAGAAGACATAGGCAGTAAAATCTCAGACACCTCACGTAGCAATATTTTTGCCCATATGTCTCCTAGGGCAAGGGAAACAAAGGAAAAAATAAACAAATGGGATCAAACTAAAAAACTTCTGCACAGCAAAAGAAACTGTCAACAAAATGAAAAAGGAACCCACTCTTTGGGAGAACATATTCCACAATGATACATCTGATAAGGGGCTAATTTCCAAAATATGTATAAAACTCATACAACTCAACACCAGGAAGACAGTCCAATTAAAGATGGGCAAAGGACCTGAATGGACACTTCTCCAAAGAGGACATACAGATGGCCAAGAAACATATGAAGAAACGCTCAATGTCACTTACCATCAGAGATATGCAAATGAAAAGCACAATGAAATATCACCTCACACCTGTCAGAATGACTACCATCAGTAAATCAACCAACAAATGCTGGCAAGGATGTGGAGAAAAGGAAACCCTAGTGCACTGTTGGTGGGGATGCAGACTGCTGCAGCCACTGTAGAAAGCAGTATGGAGTTTCCTCAAAAAATTAAAAAATGGAACTGCATTTTGACCCAGTGACCCCACTTCTGGGAATATATCCTAAGAATCCCAAAATACCAATCAGAAAGAATATATACACCACTGTGTTAATAGCAGTATTGTTTACAACAGCAAAAATCTGGAAACAGCCCGAGTGTCCATCAGTAGATGAGTGGATAAAAAAACTGTGGGACATATACACCATGGAATACTACGAGGCTGTAAAAAGAAAGGATCTCTTACTTTTTATGACAACATAGATGGACTTGGAGAGTATTATGCTAAATGAAGGAAGCCAGTCAGAGAAAGACAAATACCGTATGATCTTACTGATATGTGGACTCTAATGCACAAAATAAACTAATGAACAAAATAGAACCAGAGACATGGATACCTGGTACAGACTGACAGACATCAGAGGGGAGGTGGGGTGGGGTGGATGGTATGAAAGAAGGTGAAGAGAATAGCCAAATAACATATGCATAGCCCATGGACACAGGCAACAATGTGGTGAGAGCCAGAGGGGGGGAGGGGCGGGTCTGGGTGGAGAGGGGCAAAGCGGGAGGGAAATGAGGAACATCTGTAATAATATCAACAATAAAAATAAAATATAATTTAAAAACACAGCCTGGCTGGGCATAGCTCAGCAGTTGAGCATCGACCTAGGATCCAGGATATCTCGGTTCAATTCCTGGTCAGGGCATATGCCCAGGTTGTGGGCTTGATCCCTGGTCGGGGGTGTGCAGGAGGCAGCCGATCAGTGACTCTCATCATTGGTGTTTCTATCTTTCCCTCTCCCTCCCTCTCTCTGAAATCAATAAAGACATTAAAAACACACACACACACAAACCCCTTTAAGTTCTATTTCTGTATATTTTTTCCTTTTGTATACTAAATGTACAAACATTACCATAGCCATATAGAAGAAAATAGTTTAAAAAATATATATTGCCCAGTTTCATCACTTAAATATCAATTTTTATTTTTGCTCTTATTTATATGTATATATTTTTAAAAATTATAGTCTCTGTAGATACAGTTTTAATAATGGTCTAATGGATATCTTTGTGAGTATATCTTTTTTTTAAGAAAAACTTTTCAGATATATTCTTAGAAGTAGAATTGCTTTGTGAAAAAAGCATCAGCATTTTTTATGACTTTATTTAAATTGCTAATTGCTTTTTGGAAGGAATATACCCAGCACTTCATATAGGTATAACAATGTGAAGAGTTGACTGACTTCACAGTAACCTCATCAACTTTGGTACTTAAGTTAACATTTCTTCCCTCAAATTTCACAATGATGATAGTATATTATTTCACATTGTACTCTGTGGATGACTAATGAGTTCTTATCCATTTAAAAATTTAGAATTTTCAGTTAGAGAAATGTAATTCTAAGATAGTAAAATATGCTTTATCTTCAGGGAATGTGAAAGATAAAGGATTAGAAAGTTGATCCCTAAACCAAATATTATGTAATTAATCATAAATGCAACTTAAAATATAAGAAAATTGTTATAATGAGCTGTCCTCAGGATTTTGTCCTCAAATGTAGGACAAATATAAGTTGTTCATAAATTTTAAAAACAGTTAAGTTATAAAAACAAAACTATTAGAGCTGTTTCTCATATTCTTGTCAAGTCATGTACATTTAAAATTCTACTTTAAAATTTTTTGCAAAGTTTTAAAAAAAATTACTAAATTTCATCCATGGTGCCATATGTTAGTAATAATTTTCTTTGAATTTAAACTTGTAGAAATGGGACGCCGTTCATCAGACACTGAAGAAGAAAGCAGAAGCAAGAGAAAAAAGAAGCATCGTAGACGGTCATCTTCAAGTAGTTCTTCAGATAGTAGAACATACAGCCGAAGAAAAGGTGGAAGGAAATCAAGGTCAAAGTCAAGATCTTGGTCCAGAGATCTTCAACCTCGCTCACATTCTTATGATAGAAGGTGATTTTCATAATTTTTACTTACATAGTATTGAGTTTACATTCTTTAGTGTTCTTATATTTTCGTGCTTTTAATCTTTCCGGGTAAAAGATTTTTCTTTTAGTAGTTATATATATATGAGGGTTAAGTCCCAACCCAGAGGTGGTTTTTTTTTTCTTTCCAGGCCCATCCCATGGGTTCAGTGCCTTCCTCCTTTGTCTATTCTTTGTATACAAGTAGATAAACTAGTATAGTTCTCATACTATATTTTCTGATAATATTTGGAAGGATTGCATGCTACTTAACACCCCTAATGTTTTAATTTGTAGCTGATTAAATCACTAAATTATGAAATCAGTCATCTGACTGTTCAAGAGCAATAACATTTTATCTCTTTTTGCTTTTAGGAAGGTATAAGACAGTAAAAATGAGACGGTTCTTTAGAATCTAGATGATTTCTCCTTAATGCTCATACAAATTTTTTTATAGCAATGATACTTAATTATATTTTGTTTCAGACGCAGGCATCGATCAAGCAGTAGCTCTTCTTACGGCTCTAGAAGAAAACGAAGTCGAAGTCGTTCAAGGGGTCGAGGGAAATCCTATAGAGTTCAGAGGTCTAGGTCAAAAAGCAGAGCAAGAAGGTATGCCATATCAGATGTTTATTGCTTTGTAACACACTATCCCCAAATTTAGTGACCTAAAGCAACAATCTCTTATTTTCTCATGATTTTACGATTTTGACTGAGCTCAGCTGGCAGTTCTTCTATTCTCTTCTGGGTCACTCCTGTGGTTGCAGTTATCTGATAGCTTGACTGGAACTAGATGATCCAATGTGGCCTCACTCAGGCATTTGGTGCTGGCTTTTGGGTATTGTCCATGGTGCTTTAGTTCTGTGGCTTCTCATCCTCCAGTAGGATAGGCTGGGCTTTTTCACATGATGGGGGAAGAGACTAAGAGCAGAAGCTGCAAGAGTCTAGCCTCAGAAATAACCTAGTGTGATATGGAGTAAATGTTTGTGTTCCCCCAAAATTTGTATGTTGAAGTCCCAATACCCAAAATAACCATATTTGGAGATAGGGTCTTTATGGAGGTAATTAGGGTTAAATAAGGTCATAAGGATAGGGCCCTAATCTAATACGCCGCCTGGTGGCCTTACAAGAAGAGAGAGAGAGGGAGCTCTTGCTCTTTATTTAAGTGTGAACGCAGGAAAGACCATGTGAGGACACAGTGAAAAGTCAGCTATCTACAAGCCAGGAAGAGCCCTTACCGTGAACCAAATCAGCTGACATCTTGATGTTGGACTTAGAGCCCCTGTGAGAAATAAATTTCTGTTGTTTAAGCTGCTCAATCTGGTATTTTATTGTAGTAACCTGAATTGACTTATGCACGTTGTCACTCCACCTGTGTTTTCTTGCTGTGCTCAGGGTCAATAATACAGAGAATAACCTATCTGGAAAGAGTTGTATATTTTGGGCAATGGTTGAAAATATAGTTCAGTAGAATGTGGACCATGGTATTGAGGGACTTGGTAAAAGTAGGCATTCAGAAGTTATTGAAAATTTTTGAGCAGAAGAGTGTTAGGATAAACACAGGAGTTTAGTAAGATCAGCTTCTTTTCTCTGCTTAGTTCTTCTATTAGGTTCTAGTTGTGGGGGTATATTAGCAGCCTGATTTTGTTATCTTGGCATAAAATTTTATAAATCTCTCTGAATCTGAAGTTGGATAATGGTAATAAAGTCCAGATGTTTAGCTTTTCTGACCTTGTAATATTTGGACTCAGTCTCCTCTCCTTAGTACACACTCCATGAATAAACCACTCTGTACTATATGCCTTTGTTCTCTATACATATCCATGAGTTGCTAACTTGTTTCTTAGAGCATGCTTTCAGTTTCCTGTAACCTTTAATTCTCTCCTTCCATAAGTCCTTTTTTGATTTTTACTTTTTCACTTCTAAGTCAAATTTAATCCATCCTTTCTCTCACCCACCATTACATGTGGCTCCTAATATATAAGTTATATTATGCATATTATGTCTTTGTTATATTCATATATTATAAACTGTTACGGGGGAATCTCTTGGTACCTAGTATAATGCCTTGTTTTGTAAACATGCCTTGACTGGGTCATTAATTGGGGAAATGAAGTTAGGTAGAGAGCTAGTTTTTGTAGTAAGGGAAAGTTTTATTGCTTATTGATTTTTAGAAGGAAAGCTTTATTTTGCGTGTATTGATTTGTCTAAAAGGGAGCTGATTACCAGAAAACAAGGTCAGTTGAAATTTCCTATCACATGGGAATAGAAATTATATGGGAATAGAAATAATAATCTATGCTTTTATATGTCTTTTTCAGGTTATGGAGTATTTTCACACACCCTGAATCAGTCAGTCAGAATTTGATTAGGAAAACAAGCCACTGAATTCCAAGCAATAGGACTGTAACACAGGGAATTAAAGGCCCACACAACCTTTCGAGGGGCTCAGGGAATTAGGGAAGCTGTCACTGATTATTTTAGCCTGAAGCATTGAAGCTGGTTATTTTCTCAGAAGTCACTGGAAATCTTAGAATTCTCTAGGTTTGTAGCAACAGAATGGGTGGTTCTCAAGAAACTACCCACCTAGAGGCTGCTTCTCTGCCCAACTATATACCTACAACTACCTCCAGAGGAAATATGGAAATCTTAATTTCTTTTCCTTCGCAATGCAAGGGAGAACTTAAAAGTAATGACGGTAATGTCTAGTCAACAACACACTATCCAGCATTAGTAACCTGAGTTTTATAGCTATGTCATGCTCTCTATTCTGTTCCATTTGTCTATGTGTCTGTCTATATTCCAGCATCATACAGTTTTGATTACTGTAGCTTTGCAATATATTTTGAAATCAGGAAGTAGGTATGAGGCCTCCAGCTTTCTTCTTTCTCAAGATTGTTTTGGTTATTTAGGGTCCTTTTAGGTTCCATATAAATTTTAGAATTTTCTATTTCTGAAAAAAATGCCATTGGGATTTTGATAGAGATTACATCGATTCTATAGATAATTTTGGTAATATGGACATTTTAACAATATTAAGTCTTCCTAAGCCATGAATATGGGATGTCTTTCCATTTATTTCTATCATCTTTAATTTCTTTCATCAGTGTTTTGCAGTTTAAAGTGTACAAGACTTTTGCCTCCTTGGTTAAGTATATTCTTAAGTATTTTGTTCTTTTAATGCTCTTGTGAGTGGGATTGTTTTTTAATTTCCTTTTTGGATCGTTCATTGTTAGTGTATAGAAACTCAACTGGTTTTTGAGTACTGAATCTGTAATGTTGAATTTGTTTTTAAGTTCTAACAGTTGTTTGTGTGTGTGTGTGTGTGTGTGTGTGTGTGTAATAGAGTTTTCTACATGTAAGATCATGTTATCTATAAACAGAAATAATGTTACTTCTTCCTTTCCAATTTGGATGCCTTTTACTTGTTTACTTTTTGTTGACCTAATTGTTCTGGCTAGGAATTCCAGTTCTGTGTTGACTGAGTGGCAAGTGTCAGTATACTTGCCTTATTTCTGAGGAAAAGCTTTTGTTTTTTTACTGTTGAGTATGATCTTAGCTCTGGACCCCTCCTGTGCTGCAATATTTCTATTCCTAATTTGTTGAGTGTTTTTATTATGTAAAGGTGTCAAATTTTGTCAAGTGATTTTTCCACATCAATTGAGATGATTATGTCATTTCTGTTCTTTATACTGTTAATGTGCTATGTTACTTTTTTAATATATGTAACAATTCTTGGATTCAAGGGATAAATCTAATTTGGTTATGGTGGATAATTGTTTTAATGTGCTGTTGAATTTAGTTTGCTAGTATTTTGTTTTGTTTTTTGCATCAACATTCATCATGGATATTGGTCTTTAGTTTTCTTATAATATTTGTTTGGCTTTGGTATCAGGGTAATAATGCTGGCTCATAAAATGAGTTTGGATGTACTCCCTCCTCTTCAATTTTTTGGAAGAGTTTGAGAGGGATTGGCATTAATTCTTATTTAAATGTTTGGTAGAATACTCCAGCAAAGCCATCTGGTCGTGGGCTTTTATTTGTTGGGAGGTTTTTGATTACCGATACAATCTCCTTATTTGTTATAGCTCTGTTCATATTTTTGTTACTTCATGATTTAGGTTGTATATATTTAGGAACTTATCCATTTATTTAGGTTGTCCAATTTGATGGTATATAATTATTCATAGTCTCATAATCCTGTTTATTTCTTTGGCATCAATTTTAATGCCTTCTCTTTAATATTTGATTTTAGTTTTTTGAGTCTCCTTGTTTTTTCTTTTTTTTAAATATATCTTTATTGATTTCAGAGAGAGGAAAGGAGAGGGAGAGACAGAGATAGAAACATCAATGATGAGAGAGTCATTGATCAAGCCCGCAACCTGGGCATGTGCCCTGACCGGGAATCGAACCCCAATCGCCTGGATCCTACTTTGTAGCTACTTTGTCTCTTTGGATCCTAGGTCGATGCTCAACCGCTGAGCCATGCCCGGCCGGGCTCCTTGTTTTTTCTTAATCTAGTTAATGAGTTACCAATTTTGTTGATCATTTCAAGAAATAAATGATTGGTTTCATTGATTGTTTAAAAAAATTGTTTTCCTATGCTCTATTTTGATATTTCTGCTCTAATAATTATTAATCCCTCCCTTCCTTCTGCTAACTTCTGCTGTAGTTTGTTCTTTTACTAGTTCCCTGAGATATAAAGCTGGTTTATTGGTTTGAGATCTCTCATCTTTTTTAATGTAGGCATTTCTAGCTGTTAACTACCCTCCTAAAACTTTTGTTGCAATCCATAAGTTTTGGTATATTATGATTTCATTTTCATTTGTCTCAAGATATTTTCTAATTTCCCTTGTGATTCCTTCTTTGAGTCATTGATTTTTCAACAATAAGTTGTTTAATTTCCACATATTTATGGATTTTCTAGTTTTTCTGCTGCTATTGACTTCTAGTTTCATTTCATTGTGGTTAGAAAAGATAGTGTGTAAGATTTCAATCTTCTTAAATTTGTTAAGATTTGTTTTGTGACCTAACATGTGATCTGTCCTGAAAAATGTTCCACCTGCACTTGAGAAGAATGTGTATTCTGCTGCTGTTGGGTGGAATTGTCTGTTACACCTGTTAGGTCTCATTGATTTACGTTGTTGTTAAAGTCCTGTGTTTCCTTATAGATCTATCTGGTTGTTCTATCCATTATTGAAAATACAGTATTGCAATCTCCTGTTATTATGGCATTACTTTCTATTTCTCCCTTCAGTTCTGTCAACGTTTGCTTCATATATTTGAGTACTCTGATATTAGGTGTATATATATTTATAATTGTTATATCTTCCTGGTGAAATGACCCTTTTATTATTACCTAATATCTTCTTTGCCTCTTGTGTGTTTTTGACTTAAACTCTATTTTGTCTGACATAAATATGTTCACCCCTACTGTTTTTGTTACCATTTGTGTGGAATATCTTTTTCCATCCTTTCACTTTCAGCCAATTTCTATCTTTACATTTAAGGTGAGTCTCTTGTGGACAGCATATAATTGCACCTTATTTTCCCCCCAGCTAGTTTATGTCTTTTGATTGGAGAGTTTAAGCCATTTAAATTAATTACTGATA